TATGAGGAACAATAATGTCTATGTTTTCAGGTTACCGGCGACCTCACTAATCAGACGTGTTTGGAGTGAACCCGAAATAACAAACACCTCGACACAACCAACATCAGGCACTCCATCAGGGCCTACGGTGTCGACATCAGCAACACAACTGGAGTCGTCAGTTCAAAGTTCAAGGTGTCCCAGGTAGGTGGATCCATTTAGCTTTGAATTGGTGTCCAAATAGGAGACAGAAAACAAATATAAACCCCACAGTTCAATGTTGGGCCACGAGCCGAGGAATCTGGATGGCCACATGTAAGCTGGTCGTGAAGGCTGGATGTCTGGCATTCGTGCGGGGCGGCTTTAGGCGTAGGGACTCCTGCAGGACATCTACTTCCTCTTTTCAAGCATGCAGGCCATACTAGGGCGATCATTTCTTGCAGTATTAAAGAAGTCCCTGGGGTTCTTTGCAAATTGTAATAGTCGACGTTTTGTGCAGGAGAGCCTAACATTTGATACCAAAACATCCAGCTTAAGAATGAAGGTAAAGGCTGTCATTGCAGTATTCCACTGGCTAGAGAATACGACGCATACATATACACGTATTTCGTGACTGCAACTGACTCAGAAAGCATGCCGAGAAAGGCGAGGACAGCCATGCCTCCTGGAGAGTGGCATTCCTCGCTTTGGAGGTCAAAGGGTGAGGAGCTTTGTCTGGATCCTTTCTCCGCGGTATGCCGGTGTGTTAGGAAATGAACAGTCGGGCAGATTGGTTGGCTCTGGAGTCTTCGCAGAACAATTCTCGCAAGTACTTTTCCAACAGTACACAGCAGTGATATTCTCCTGTAGTTACTGCAGTCACTCCGATCACTCTTGTACTTGTACATAGTTATGATGCTTGCAGAACCTGTACCTCTTGCCAGCAGAGTATTATTAGCTATTTACGAATGTGTGGGGTTAAAATGTCTTTCCTACTTCTGATTATCTCAACAGGAATTCTATCTCTGCCTGGAGCTTTCCCCGAAGCCAATTCATCAGTGTCCACATATCAACAGTTGGTAGCGTCTTCATGGCATTAGGAGCACCATGTGTTAGTTTAATATTAACTGAGTATAGCTCTAGATAATTTTCCAACCATTTATCTAGATGCTTCTTCTTGTCGTTAATAATTTCCAAATTCAAATTCTTTAGTGGTGCATTTTTTTTTTAAATAGTAGGACCGATGACCTTCTTTATAAGCGCACACTTGGCTTTAACATTACTACTACTGCTATCATTTTGATGAATGGCGTGTTGTTTCTCCTTTGTTCCATTCTTTGCCAGTCCAGCCTAATTTCCAGGTGCGCCGCCTTTTGATAATGGATCCAGTAGCTGCGGCACACTACCTAGCTAACTTTTGTAAATGATTTCTAGCTGCTCTCAACTCACTGAGAGTGTTCCTGTTTTTGTTCTTTCCTTGTTTCTGAGGAGCATTAACATTTTGCTGTCAATTAAAGGTTGGAGCGTCTGCCTATTTGCTTCAAACCAGTCCTTACTTCTGTGTTCTCAAATCCCATTCGCATCCCATGTTAGACTTGTTGTACAGTTATCTTGGATATCAGTGAAAGCATTTTCAAACTGTTGTTGAAACTCAAAACACCTTTAATAGTCTTCAGGTTTGGAAATATTTAACCTAGGGGAATTTTTTTTTTTTGGAAGTGAAAATTCTCAGTTTTTTTTTTTCGAACTTTTGTAGCAACTAGGAAATGCTCAGTATTACAGTCAGCACTGTGGTAGCTGCGAGCTAGTGATACATAGTCCCAAGTGCTGCTTTCTTGTGAGAATAAGGTCCAGCTGGTGTCAGTGGCCACATCTTGGATGTTTCCATGACATCTTATGGCGGTCTTTAGTTCTGAAAAAGGAGTTCGTGATGCACAAGTTACTTCTAGTGCAGAATTCCGATAGTCTCTGTCCGTTTTCATTCATGTGGGCAACAATATATTTTTGAAGACAAACTTGTCATGATTTTGAGTCTGACCCCACAAAAGCATTAAAATCACAAGTATATAGATGCCGTCAGATCTAGGAAATGCTTTTACTGCATTATCCAGTTCCTCATAACAGGAATCCCTTGAGTCCTCTGTTGACGTTTGAGTCGGTGCATATGCAGTAACAAGGGTGATAAAACCGCTTAAGGTAGACAATCGTAGAGATAATATTCTGTCACTTCCTCCGGTTGGACTCTCAACTGATCCTAACAGTGAATTCTTTGCTGCGAATCCCACTCCATAAATCCAAAATTCCTCCTGGTCTCTGCCTCTCCAGAAAAACAAATAATTGTCTCTAATGGACCCATCCTCTAGCAGGCGGGTTTTCTTTAGGCTAGCAATATCTATGTCAAATTTGTTGAGTTCGATATCAATGATGGCAGTTTTTCCCACATCATTAATGTTTTCCAGGTCACTGGAAAACACTGGAAACATGGTCTTCACATTCCAAGAGCCAAGTCAAATGTGTATATTAGTGGTTCAAGGCCACCAACGTCCTCTTCTGTATCAGTGGAAGCAGTTGAAAATAATGAGTACAGGTAGATCATCGCCATGTGGCATTAGACGTATTGCAGAGGGGATGTTAGGGTGCTCCGGCGACCATTTTCTTTTTCTTTTTTAATGTGTCTTTCTCTATCGGAGGGATCATACAAATGTTGCAGCTGTTGAGACGATCAGCGGGCTCTCACCAAATCACTCGGGCTGCAAAAGAAATAGTTTTCCTTTTGTCAGTCAACCACAGTTTCAGATTTGCTGGATATGAATTGCAGCATATGTGTGGCACCCAGCTCTTATCTTAATCTTTTATTCTGCAGCGAAAATACAAACTGTATGTGTCAGTAGTTTTCAGCTATGTTCACACACGCACTAGGCAGTTCTAGCTATGACAGTATTAATAAAGACAAAGACACTAGCTAATAATGACAAAAGTTTGTCAGATAAGATATTTATATACACAGGTGATATAATCGTAGGTAGGACTGCATCATCAGCTTCTTGTAAGTTTTATTAGTCATTAGAAACAAAATATGCAACCAGCCACAACAGTTGCGTCACATGTATAATTTAGCCCTAATTAAGTAAACTAGTAGCGTGTATTTCTAAAACTACAGCCAGTTAACATTTTCTTACGTAATTTTAGTTTTTAGCAGACACAATTAGTCAAGGTCAGCTACGTTCATTTCTGGTGCATTCTGGTTGTTGACTAGTGTCATCATATCGCTACAGGCATCATTGATATTGGAACCGCGTTGGCAGCTGAAGATGGGGACGGAATGCATAGAGTGCTGTGATGTCGGTTCTTGAACTAGATGACATCAAATCATAATGAAACAACTAAATTAAAATTCCCCTGTGTTGTGAAATAGTTTGCTATATGATACCGTGGCTTACACGTGTCCACCAGCTACCCTCAGTATCTATGGTTTACAGCATTATTGAGCACACTAGCAACCGCTTAACGAAACTCTAATAAATCAATCAAGTGCAATCAGTCTTGTTTAATTTGGACGAACACATAACGACGATGCACTGGTGATGTCAGATAAATGAGTAGTCTCCTAGTATCGCTCGCTCAATAATTATATCAGCAACACACTGTCAAGTCTTTTCTGATACACCGGCACAAAGTCTCAACGGTTCTCAATCAAATCACTTGAAAATGGTAACCCATGAGGTTCGCACCTAAAACACAAGTACGATACGAGAATGCTCTGCTAGCACACCACACCTGCACAAAATCCGAACATTTCTCCACAGTCTTCATAACTGGACACAACATAGTACACCCTTGCTCTCTATGTCCTGATAGCTGATACGAGCACTTCCCGCCAGATCACACAGAATCTATCTCTCACTGATGGCCGTGACCATCCTCTGTCGACTTTCGATCCAAGAGATCCCGCCATCTTAGGACTTAGGTAGTTGCACCAAACTGGTGAATAACTCCAGAGCATCTTCTGATACCTTGTAACCCCTGGAAGGAACCCCTGACACCTCCCCATCACCACCTGACTGGCTTTAACACAGTTAGCGCAAGTCAGTCAACATGACACAAATGCACCAATGACCACTTCACCACACAGGGGTCAACAATTACTCCGTACTTCGGCGAACATCTACACAAAAACATTCGGAACTCCATTTTCTAAAACATCAAATTTAACTAAACCTTGCAGGCACTCTGACAAAATTAAACACATGATTAAAACTGTCACACAACACCAACAAGAGTCCGAACTCTTTCTATGACCGAAGGCTACTGAATCTGACTACACGGGATTCATCTACCAGCGGGAGATTCGTCCACCACGAGGGAGATTGGAACATGCAACCATCGGACTAACAACCTACAGTTGCCACCTGGCACTAATGATAACCTTTGTGTAGGTCTAAAATTTATTGATACAACCAACACATAAAGTAAAAACACTTTAATGCTAGTAAAAATGCAAAGTACTAGATGATCTGAAAATCAACCACGATTGTCGGGGACAGAGTCAAGGAAGTGGAGATAAAGACCTGGTTATGATTGGAGTGTCGTGTACGACAGGTGAAACTAAGCGGAACCTAAGCCGTTATCAGGTGACTGCACTCTTACATCAACAAACATTTAAACAAAACAACCCACAGAAATGATACAAACAGGATATTAGTGCTTTAGGGGCACTATTCGGGGGTGGGGAGGGGGGCATGTAAAAGATCGTCTGCCCAAGCATGTCCTAAAAGGCAACTTATTCAGATTTTGTTAAAATCTGATGGATAGATGTAAATCAAGAAGACAAAGAAAAAGGAGGAGCACGAGAAGGATGAGGCATGATGAGGACAAGGAGTAAAAGACGACAATGATGAAATGATGACAATGACGAAGGAGGGGAGAAGAGAAGGAAAAGAGAAGGAGCTTAAGCAAAACTAAGTAATGCTTAAGTTAAAGTAAAATGCTCAAAGAGAATGACAACCGTGAGGTAAGGTTAACAATATCAACATCAAACTTACGTTTAAAGGCAGCCAGCAGACGCTGAAGGCGATGGTAATTAGACACAGAAACCAGATCATCTGAGCCTCCATGTCCGAGTGATGCTTCTGCCGAATGACTGTCCCTGACGTAGCTGAGCCGATTCCTGAAACTGACAATTTTCTATCAATAGACGGAGAGCTGCGAAGTCTGCGCCGAAGTCTATGTCGGCAGAGTGTTTCCGCCACAACAAGATTACACAGGATCGTGATGACGATAGCAATAATGTTGAGACTGCTGAACATGGCGGCGTAAACGGTATCAACAGTGCTCTCTCTGTGAAAGTTCAAGAAACACCAAGAGTTAGGATACTGAAGCTCGTAGCTGCCAAATCCAATAAAGGGCAGGGCGGTAAATGAAGTAGTCACTGCCCAACAGCCAAGAAATATCAGCTGGGCCTTTCTTCTGGTGATATGTCTAGCGTAGTAATATGAGAACTTGATGGCCAAGAATCTCTCCACCGACATGCAGCAAACAATCAGTGGCATGACCACACCAAAAGACACCATCATGAACCCATGGTAACGACACAAGGGCGCGCCTCCGACCCATGTTAAATTGTTGGCGTATGTGATGATGGCAATAGGGCTTACAGAAATAAGACCAATCAAATCCGTCCAAGCCAGACCAGACAGCATTACGAAGAAGACTGTTCTACGTGCTTGAGCCTGAAAATTAAATAATACAAACAGTTACAAAAACAGTAAAGTTTTCCACTTTTCACCGCTCTATAATCTGTCTTTCTGTGTGTGTATCTATTTATGTGTGTATTTGTGTGCATGTATCTGTGTGCAAGAGTGCGTGTGTGCGTGCGTGTGTGTACGTATTTTTATGTTTATGTTTACTCAACAGATCATGTCTGTCTGTCTGTCTGTCTGTCTGTCTGTCTGTCTGTCTGTCTGTCTGTCTGTCTGTCTGTCTGTCTGTCTGTCTGTCTGTCTGTCTGTCTGTCTGTCTGTCTGTCTGCCTGCCTGCCTGCCTGCCTGCCTGCCTGCCTGCCTGTCTGTCTGTCTGTCTGTCTGCTTGCCTGCCTGCCTGCCTGCCTGCCTGTCTG